AAATGCATCGCAAAATCCTTGTGATGGTGTTAGAAATGAAGAAGTTAGCTGCTACTATCAACCAAGACCATTGTTAGCATTTCCAAATGTGACACAATGTGTGGTCCCAAAATGTTCAATATTAAAATCATAAATACGACAAGACATCAATTACGTAATAAAGTTATGTCAAATTTATTGGAAATAAATTAAATACATAAAGAAAAGCCACGTCTTTATAATGAAATGTCATTGCATCATATCCTTATGATAACCCCAGTCTATTTGTTTGTTGGTTGCTTTGTTCATAAATGCATGTTAAGATTACTGAATAGATTACCTAGAAACTTTGTGGGAGGATGTGTAATGGGACAGGGACGAATTTTTGTGTGTACCCAGGATTTTTTTTCAACATTTACCAGAGAATCATTTGTGGATCTTGTTAAAAATGAATCGGACATGTTAAGGGAACTGATATGAGTGTGTGAAGTTAGGTGCAGCTTGATCAAATTTAAATTTAATTAACTTGATGGTATGCGCTCTGAGTGCAGTTTTCATATTAACCATGGTTTTACTGACATTCATTTTAGTTGTGCTTTTCTTTGTAATGGTTATTGTTTTCGACACTTTTATTTCATAATGACGATTTCACACTTTCATATATGTAGATGTGTCACCCTGCCCCCAATCCTCTCCCCCTCACCTTTCAACCAATCACATACTACCAGCAGCTTTAAGTTGACGCTGGGTAAATAACTCAAGCTTAGCTATATAATGACCTAATAAGGCACAGTCTTAAGTGATCAATTATGTTCCTGTACACTGTGTATCTAACCTGGTACATGTGGTATCAGTTGCTAAGCTAGTTGAAGAGAGAGCATGAGGAGCATAAGAATGACTGAATGATGAGAGGGTGGAGATGAAAACTGTTCCTAAAAAGTTTGATGTAAAAGGGCCATTATGAAATCATCATAGGACTTTTTCTACCTTATTTATCCATAATCCACCTTCCATCAATTCCTTTGAGGCTCACGTGACGGCTGGAACCAATCCCAGCTGGCTCTGGGCGAAAGATGGGGTACACCCAGGGTAGACAAACAACCATTCACATTCACTCCTACTGTCAATTTAGAGTCTTCAGTTAAGTGTACCCACACACACATGGGGAGAACATCCAAACACAACACGGAAACGCAGTGGCTGGCCATGAGGTTCATGTGGGGTTTCTTCTTGCTGTGAGGCGACACTGCACCACTGTGCCATCCTCATTAATTCATCACACAATTGAATCAAGTGGTGATTTATTTCAAGATGCCCGATTTACTTAATATTGAACACTTAATGGGTCCATACCACAAAGCTTGCTGTATATTTATATATACACAGTGAAGTAGTGATTGATTTCCTTTTGACAATAGCTGCTCCCTGGGCACAACCTCTGTGTTGTTACTGGATTAAAGTTTAAGCATTAAGTACACTTAAGCACTTAGTACTTTTCACTTGCTACTCAGGGGAGGTTCTTTAAGAGTCTATGCTCCCAACACAAAATGGTTATATTTGACATGTGAGAGGAGAGGAGAGGAGAGGTGTGTTATCCAGCCTGAGCTGTTAGGCACAGATACACTATAAATGTATGTTTGTATAAAGACAGAAAAGTACATTTATGTGTAGGTTTTGGCACAATATTACTAATTCTGAATTTGTTTTATTCTGCTGTTAAAAACCTGTCGACTGGATTCTCAGTGATGAACTGTGGTGCAGACGTGTCAACACAAGAAGTTATTTTAAACATGCAACTTTAATGAAGAAATCTTTAACTCCCGTGTTCATGCTGGAACCAAATGGGTCATGTGTTAATGTACATCATGTTGCATTAATAGGTCTCATATTTCTATTAAAATACCAAGTGACAAGCAGTTTTTCTAAGTCGACACCGTAGGAGCCAAAAACTGTAGAGAGATGGTTGAGTATTTTAATTGAACCTAGCTAGTATTTAGCTTCTTGCCACTGCTCTGCTTTGCAAAGATTCGCAAACGAATTAAACATGTTTGCAGAAGCAAAAATTTTTTAATTTACTCTTTAATGAATGAAATTTTTATTACACGCTGCTTTGTCTGTGTTGTTCAGTATTTGGAGCTCTTTTCTACTGAGTAGTTTCTGTTTCGCTTCTGGATTTTTGGCCGAGCTAAAAGAACTCATCCTGGACTTCTTCAGTAAGATATTAAAGTCTTTTTTTTTTAATTGTGGCTAGCCTGTGGGGGTGTTCTGTCTCAAACTATAATTCATGGAATTATTGCCTTGGATTATGATAACTGCTTTTCACTCAATCTGCTCTGCATTCCCACTCAAATGCTGAGCTTTCAAGCTACCAAATGAGCAACTCCTTGTCTCTGCTGGAGACATTTTGATCTTCAGAAACATCACCTTGAGCATAATTATGCCTCTGTTATGCTAGAAGCAGGGGGTAAAAGAGCGTGGGTTTGTCCGAGCTGTGCCCACATGTGATATCCCTAATAACATGGATATAATGAAAGGCTACGCGCTATACTCCAACATCAAAAGCTATTGTCTAATTTTGGCCAGTGGGATGTGACAAATCCGTAATTAAAATAGCAAGCTGCATGATAAAACAAAGCCACTCACTCTGAGACGGCGGATCCTGCTAGATATGGATCTGTCATTAGGCTAAAGAATTGTCCTTTGCCTTTCTGCCTTTATCTCCCTAATGCTGCTACATTTCCCCAGGATTGGCTTTTTTCAGCTTGGCTTGAAAAAAAAAAAAGCTGATCTCAACGAATGTCCTAATCAGTCACGGATCGGCTGTTTACCGCTGCAATAAGTTGAGGCCACTGGTTCATCCCGAAGATGAACCCATTGCATGCACGCCATGTTTTCAAATTGGCATCAGAATGACAACTCTTTTGCTCTGCTGTAATGCCCTCAGTCTGCCGAGCTTGTTTACAAATGCATGTGTACATGTCGCCAGTTCAGCTGGAGGACAACGGCGATTGGATGATTTTTATGTTCTTTTTTTTCATGGAGTGAAGAATTGACAGCAGACACAGTAACAGAATTGCTGTTACTGTGTGCTCTGTTTCAGCTGACTACTAACTTTTTAATTGATGGAACGATACATACAGTATATATTTGGCAGGATTGACTTGAAGATCAAATACTCATGAATAATACATCTGGTGAGACATGCTGGGATCACTGGTGTGACTCATGCAGCAGGTGATTTCCTATCACATGCAGCTGTTTTAACAGAAGCCAGCATGGCAGACAGCAGCAACAGACTGTTAAAAAGGGTTTCCATATGCACAGTGCATGCCCAACAGTGAGGAACACTTTAAATTACCCAGAAAGCCAGTGGTGGAAGCAGACTGGGACTGACCTGAACTACCAATGGCCCTGGTTAAGAAGAGGTGTGTGTGTGTGTGTGTGTGTGTGTGTGTTCACGTGTTTGTGTGGAAGACACCCTGGAAGCACACTGGATAAGAAGCTTTCAGGTAAATGAATGAATACATTATGGATTGGTGGCAAACCATCAATAAAGCAGCAGTGTTTGAGCTGAGTGAAGATCTCTGGTTGACATGTGAAGCCTGAGAAAAGAGAGAATGAGAGGCCAGCCGGACAAAGGGGACCCAGCGGGGACCTGGGGCTACCTGAGGGAAATAGATTCTACCTTACAAGCCACACTAACAGAAAGCCTACATTCACGTACATGCACAGATTATTTTTCACTGTTGTACACCCACACACATACTGTAGATATACACCCATGGATACACACAGATTTTTCCTTTGTCTGTGTGTGTGTGTCCTTAGGGGGAAGCATATATTCATATTCAGTGAACGATCGCAAGAGGCAGAAGCCGTTCAGAGCCATTTTGTTTTTCAAGCCCATGGCAGAAAGCAGTGGCCATTATGACCTTGTGATGAATTCAGGGTCCATTTCCTACAGTTTCCTTTTTCAGGCATGCACTCTGAATTAAATTGAAAAAGAATAGACTAAAAGACTGATGATGCTGCATTCTGAGAGGGAGAACATAGGGTGAAATTCAGGTTCTGACTTTCAATTCCAGGTTCACCGTAATCGGGAGAGAGTTTCATTTGTGCCCGTTGTCATTTATTCATTAGCTCACAATCAGATCTCCTGTGCAAGGCATGAGACATTATAAATCAGTCACTGGCTGGCCATTAACAATTCATGCTATTCCTAATACATATGACTCGTCATTTATTTATCACCTCAAATGGGATTTCCTTCCTCCTCATTGGCTCTGATTCAGAAGTCAACTTATCTCAGCCTTACCAACGGCCATTTTCAGAGTGAGCCAAGATGTAAACAATGCATTTTAAAGCTGAGAGGAACCAGGGACGACAGATCTAGTCAGCTGCCTTTTGGACCGGAGGGGAGCGTTTCCCCTGACTAAATCCAGTTGGGGAAACAGCTGGTGCCAGTTGTTTTCTGCTGATTCTCTTGAGCAGTTGATGTAATTGTGAGTAATTAGGCCTTAAAGTTGTCTTGTCTTTTCCCCAACAAGTCTCAAGTCCCGGGAGAGAGTGAGTGAGGTGAAGTGGAAGGTGAGCTGTCTGAACACCAGAGGGTTGCTTTTGTCAACAGATTCTATATGAAAAATCTGGAACAGTGCCACCATATGCAAACACCACATGATCACAATGGCTCTGTATATGACACTATTGCCAAGGGCCCTGGCACTTCTTGTTGTAAAGATAAACAGCAAATTACACTGGAGATGAACCGGCTGGAATGAGCCACATAAAGACATGGTTATTGGTATCTGGCTCTTCGCCCAGATGTTGCACTGTGAAGGATTGTGTGTCTTATGTGTCTTATAAACTTAAAATATCCAACCACATCAACCTGGTCCAAGGGGCCCTTTGTACCTCTACCAAGGTGAGATCAAAGAATATGTGATGATGGGCAGCAGTAGACATGAAGAACACATTCCCACTATGACCTGCTAACAAAGAGAAATATTAGCTATGCTACTTACGGGTAGTTGGCTTGTTACAGTTGTGCCCATGTCTGAAGTATTGAGGGTTCTCCACCACAGGAATACGGGTCATCCCTATAACAACCGCATCAGGACCCGCGTCAAGAGTACAGGGGGTAATAATCCCGTGGTTGACATGATGAAGAGGGCTGGCAGAGTCTTCCTCTCCACTTATCACAGCTACTGGACCTGGAGGAAGAGGAGACAGATGACATGTTACCCAACAGTTCACAAGTTAAAATGTGGAGCTTCAGTAAAGGTTATCTGACGTAATAATATAAAATGTAATATAATATTGATAAGTAAGTGTTATTGTTTCATGAGAAAACATACTGATTTGCTCAGCCTCTCCATTCCCCACTTTCTCTCAGCCTCTCCTCCGTGCACGCTCAATCTCAACATGATATATAATATATATATATATAAAATATATAGAGCTCCTAATGGCTGGCCTGTAATATCACGGGAGGATACAGTGTGGTTAATAACAATGTTACTATTTTTAATGAGGAAACACTTGACTGTAACCATGGTTATCAAAATATTTGTGAAAATATATAGCCTATAAATTTTGCTTATACAGATTTTACTTTCTTGAAGGTTCACAATCAACAGATGTATACAACAGTAATGTTTCTTCATTCTAAAATTACAAATCTGCTAGTATTGCCTCCACCGAGGAGGTTATGCTTTCATACCTGTACGTTTGTTTGTTTGTAACAAAGGTTACACAAAAACAATTGAAGGAATTTCCACAAAACATGGTGGAAGGATTTGGTATGGGTCAGGAGAGAACTCCCTACATTTTGGTGTAGATCCGTATCAGGGGGCGGATCGAAGATCATATTTTTCACTTTAACATTGTAAGAGGGTATTTTTCAAAATTTTTGTCGATATTTAATTTGTGATCGTGATGAAATAAATTAGACATAATAAGGGGACTGATATCTATGTGTTTGTGTAATTTGGTGCAACTCAACTGAATTTGAGAGGACTTTTAGGCGTTGGTGGAGGTATGCCCTCTGCTGAGAAACAATCTATTTTAAATCTGCTCCGCTTCAACAAAACTAACAAACCTGAGTTTGACATATAGCTTTTACATCAGCTCAGATCAACCAAACCAACACACAAGAGTCTGTTTTGAACCTTAGCTTTCATTTCTCAAGTGATGTTAAATGAGTTTGTCAAACGTGACCTCTCACTCAACCATGTTTATTAATTATCCTATTCATACAGCCTTCTAAATATTCTCGTATGATATATGAACACGATCAGTTACCAACATCAATATATACTAATATATGTTTAAATCATCATGAGCACAGCTGGTGCTGGAGCAGCAGGACTGGGTATGCTGGATAAATTTACGGTGTCATACAACACAGACCTGACAAGACCGAACATGATTTCCTGCCTCTAATCAAAATTCAAAGTCAAGATTTACTGTCAGACAATGTGATCCAGTTTTCTGTTCTATTACTGCTGTGGGAAAAGCAACACAGAGCTGTGACAACTGCAATCTTCTGGGCAGGGGGGGTGGGACAGCAAGTGAATATGAAGTCAGCACTAGATGATTCAGTAGAGACCTGACAGGGAATCTGTTTACCCACAAAGTTGAGTCTCTTCCTCACCTTACATAGAAAACTGTAGTCAAGACCCAGTCATATCAAATTATACACCCTCAGCTGCAGAGGGGTGGTGCAGAGGGGAGAGGAGTCCTCTGATGAAGCAACACATGTGAGCAACGATTTATTCACAGCACTGGCTCTTATACATGCGTTTCAATACCTGAGCATCCACTTTGTCAGGGAACCGAGCACAGGTCTTCACTGGCTGACTACCTCCAGAACTCCCCTAATGCCTCTGACCCTCCACTACACTGCACAGGCTATACTCACACAACACTTTTTCAGACATCAGTACACTTGAAATAAAATCATTGCACAGAGGGTCAAGATGAGTCATGGGTAGAAGTCTTTAAAAAACTGAGAAAAGATAACCCTGAATGGATCCTATGTATTATGTTCTGCTTTTTAATTCGATGTGAAATGGAATGAAAGCCCATCTGATCAGACTTCAGTGCCAGATGGATGAGGCCTTGGGGAATGCCTGGCCTTGGTCCAAACCACAGCACTCAAAAACTACACAAAAACCTGATTCTGTGGAAGATGAAGTTTTTCTGAAGAGTAAGGGGGAAATGGTAATTTTTGACTTGAGAGCATCCTGAAAATTGCATTTATGTTACCTTGGTGATGAAAAGGCCCAACGGCCTGTGAGAGAGTTTTTATCATCTGAGATGTCGCTTATGGACTGAATGGGATTCAGCACTAGACATTACCCCCCCAAACGTCTACCTCGTTTCTCTCTATTAAATCAACTTTGATTTATTCAAGAGAAATGGGAAATGAAATGAGACAAATTTCGACTATTTTCTATTCTTTTTCTGTCTCATCTCTACACAACCTTTTTTGGTTCATACAGAAGGTAAATTAAATCAGACCTTGATATAGCTTTAAACATTTTGTATTCATCATATTAAATACAGACATCTTCATCTACCTTAAATCAAGTCTTTGCTTCTAAACCCTTGTATTGGCACTGACACTATTATTTTCTGGCCATAAAGCATGATATCAGCAGTGGTGGGTAGAGACCGAAACAGTACTCAAGGAAACGTATTGTTACTTTATAATCATAATGACTCTGGTATTAGTAAAAGAACTCGCAAAAATAAGTACTTGAGTCAGAGTAAAAAAGTATCTCATAAAAATGTACTCAAGTAGTGAGTTACTTCTTTGAATGTATTCTGTTCAAACAGGATATTAAGAGGTAATAACAATTTAAAGTGCACATTGATAGTAATTAATAAAGTGAAAAATTTTAAACTAAGCAAATGCCAAAATACATGCTGTTAAGCACTGTTTGCTTTCAAACATCAAGAGAAATCCTTCACTGAATCCTCATAGGAAAGGCTTGGATGCACATGCATTCAGTTTTTCAAAACAAACTTTGACTAAAAAATGTTTAACTAATTAGTGCAAGATAGGAAGATATGGACATTTGCACTTCACAGAAGAATAGATAATGAAAATGATCTTTCACCACAGTTTTAGTGTTTATCTGTTGATTATGTCACAAACATAAATATTTGCAACACTTCCTGTACCCCTTTCAAAGTAAAAGCACTACAGCGTTTCTACTGTTTAAACAAGGTTTTTTTAGTGTTATCGCAGGACCAGAAGATGCACGGTTTCATTGCGTAGTTTCCTGGCAATTAGTCTCATTTATAGCTTTATTTTTATTCAAGCAAATACAGCGAACACACCACAGAACTCACATTGCAGCTCCGCTACAGACATGCTACAGGCACATTGCCTGTGTAAACAACAGACAAATGTGACATGCAGCAGATCCATTGCATATCCACTACTTGTGTAAGACCTCTTGATTTCTTACACTGAAAGAAGTAAAGAAGCAAGACCAAATTATTTCTCAGAACTAATCACCAGCACTCATCATAATTCCAGATTCCTTTTCAAAACCATTAATAGACTCATAAACTCCTTCTGCCCTGTTAGCCATTTCAAATACTGACTGTGAAACATCTGAAGACACTAAGGTGCAACTGAATATTATTATTTTCATTACCACAACTAGTCTGACAGAGCTTAAATATGATGGTAACACAACTGTTCCTGGTCCCCCCCTCTCTTTTTTCTCTCTTCACAGTCGCTAAAGTGCTGCTCATTGTGGAAACAGCTGGTTTTCTCTATACATTTTATTCTATTCAGTTGTTTTTT